AGCAGCTCAGAGGCGTAGTTTATCTAGGGATCAAATTTTAAAAATAATTAAATAAATTGGGAGATGCACCAATATTATTTATTTTTGACACAATTTTCAATCTATTTTTAAAAATTTACCAAAAACAACAATATATGAACAATCGTTTTTCTGGAAACTCTGTGCTGTATCGCAAAACCACAGGGCGTGATGCCAAGCATCGTAACAGTTGACAGTTGTACGCTGTATGAAAAGTGGAATTTATTTACGGAATAGGTACCTTGTTGGATATGAATGGACGAATTACGGGTATTATACATAGACCTTTTATTCAGGGCTAGATGAACCTACCGGGATACCGGGTTATACAGTCTGTCAAAGTTGCAAAAAAGTCAAATTTGAACTTCAATATTTCCGAAACAGAAGATACATATATGACATTATAAATGAAATATATCTAGAATTTTCCGCAGAATCCAGAAATGTCATAATATATAGTCCGTTGCATGGTTCTTGAGCTACGACTACTGAATAAACAGAGGGGAGAATGGGCTATTGCTTACGTTGTCATATCAATAATATTTATTAATACATGAAATTTGCAATAAAATTTTCTTCATTTTCATGTAATAATAAATATTATTGATATGACGGATATGACAACGCAGTAATAGCCCATTGTCCCCTCTGTCTATTCAGTAGTCGTAGCTCAAGAACCATGCAAAGGACGGGGTACCATTTAAAAAAATATAGTTGATACCAGCGAAGCTATTTCTGACACACCCTGTATGATATATATCGAAAAATTTCAAAAAAAAAAAACAAAAACAAAATTGACGTGTCTGAGCTATTTTTCAAAAATTCTACCGTTTTCAAAATAATGAATTTATGCGGGACTTTATATATGTATAGATCAATTTGTTTCTCGGTGGGACATCCTACACAGTGGCGACGCTAGGGTTCTATGTTAGGGGAGGGGGGGCCAGGGCCGGTATTCTCGTTCCCGAAAACGCTCACCGTTTTCTAGTCGCTCGGCACTTTTAATGTAAATTTACATTAGAAGTGCCGAACGACTAAAAAGCGATGAGCGTTTTCGAGAACGAGAATACCGGCCCAGAAAAATTTAGGGGGGGGGGAACTTGTTTTTATTTTATTCTTTTTCTGCTTTGGAATAAAAAATGGGAAGTACCTGTCGACACCAATATGTTTGGGAAAATCCCAGGAAAGCAAAAGCAACATCGCGGTTGCCTGTGCCCAAGAATACTTAACCTAAAAGGACTTATTGAGTTGAAAATGTTTGCCATTTCAGCTGCAGACCTCAACACTTGGCGTAAAATGCATTAGCCGACTTTAAAACAGTATAGATCAAAAAAACGAATACCTAAACACTATAATCTTGTTAAAATCACCTTTTCTACATTTAAAATCGACGAAAAAACAAGCACAACCTGAATCGCGAGCATCCCATCGAGTCCTGCAGGTGACGTCATCACTATAAACTGCTATGCGGCTTGCTATGCTGCTAATAAGTGGTGACGTCACTCGCAGGCCCTGCCGATTCGAGAATTGGCGAACGTAGGCCTTATGAGGATGAGCAATCCTGTTAGTTTACGATTCTTTGCCTATGTCCACCGAATACCGAATTAACCGGCAGAGGCTGCTGATGTTGCATTGCATTGTTGCCGACATGAGAGCATCTTTTCAGGGGGGACCGGCTAAATTTCAGTGGGGGCCCCGGCCCCCTCTGGCGTCGCCACTGACCCTACATCTTCCAATTTATTTAATTATTTTTAAAATTTGATCTCCCTAGATAAACTACGCCCCTGATGAGCTGCTACTATAGAGTATTTTTCAGGGTTCTCAGGTCACTCAGGATGCCAAAAAAATCATAAGAAATTACAATTGAGATAAAAAAAAAGTCCCATATTTCCCAATTTTCTTAGCGAATTTGACAAAATTTTGCTTTAAAATTGGAAATTTGGCCGCCATTTTGAAAATTTTATAGTTATAAAAAAATGTGATTTAAATTGACTTCAGCGATATCAAATCAATTATAAAATGACATATAATACTCGCCCGCATTGGTTATTATTTCATATATTTGCAAATTCAACCCCCTTAGAGTATACTCCGCCCCTGAGCTGCTCCATACAGGTATTTTTTTGGATAGGTACTGCGGGTAAAATCTCTTAATTTGACCTATTTAAGATGCCTACCAAATTTCATGCTTTTAACCAGTGTTGCCAGACCGAGAATTCTCATTACCCTTTCCAATCTCATAAAATACCCAATTTTACCCGGACACTGAAAACAAAATCCCCAAATCATTAAGCTAGGTTAGGGCACGGGGTACATTTTTAAAATCATTAATGACATAAAGTCTGTTTTTTTTTTTTTTGATAATTCCCCAAGTCAAAAATTTAGTAACTATGTTGGCAACACAAGCCTTTTCTACATAAAAAATTTGAAGCATTGACAATTTTATATTGTATTGCCAACATAATGTCATTTTGACTTTTATCTTTAAAAAAAAAAACGCACTTTACAATTTTAGCATAAATTGGGCCAGTTTTTGAATTCATCAATTGACCTGTCTCGCATAAATAGAGAAGGATAGCTTAACTGTAATAAATACAAGTTGGAAAGTAATAAAAGATGACATGCGCGCGCAACTAGTGGGTTGCAGTGTAGCCAGTTTGTATTGTTGCAGAATAAATGTGGACAATACAAATCGAACATTATAACATTGAAGAGTTGATATAGTGTTAAGTGTTTTACAACGTCTTAAATCAGACAAAAGAAGAGCTTTAAAGTGTATGTTGCATTTTTATTTTGATAAATATTTCATCCGGCAACATCGCACAATGAAAGTCCAAATATTTCTAAAGTATTAGCACAGGTATTAGTTTGCTCTTTGTCAAATTACACGTTACAAAGAAAGAAGGAACGATCAATTCTGAACTGGCCCCTGAATAAGAATATGACGCAAGCTCGTAACAAACTGGCTTCTCATTGGATGTCAAGGTAAAAAAAGATAGGTCAATTGCTTCTGCGCATTGCTCCTGATGGGTAACCTATCCTTGTTTTGCTGCTGTCAAATGACAAGGACAGCAATACATCGGTGAAAATGCGCATGAGACATTGATGATTTTAAAAACTTGCCCATTGATGGTGCTTGAATATTACATATAAATATTATTTTACAATAAACAATACACGGGTGGGGGTGGGTAACGGCCGTGACGGGTGACGGAGCTGACGGTACATAAACGTCAATGTCAATGCGCTGATAGGCACTCTAGCACTTGCTCTAGCACAGCCTCAGTGATTTTCATTTGTCAGTGTGAACTGGATGTATTCGTTTTTTTTTCTGAAATCATGTAAAATAAAACCAGTTGCGCTTTCAATTTCAATGTAGAAAATATTAGTGGAAATTGTTGAAAATAAAAAAAGAAAGAAGAATAGGGCTGTAATTCCGGATTCCTCGGTTTTACCCACATCAATATTTTACCCCCGAACACTAGTCGAAAATACCCGGTTTTTGGGGAATTACCCAGTCAACGACAACACTGCTTTTAACACAATTTGCAGGGTTTTTCTGTTAACCGCTAGGACTATTAGTTTTAAAAATTACACGTTTCAGGTGAATGTCTTACTTGAACAGTTCAGCAATATATTGGTGATTAGATGGCTGCGGAACTCGCTGCACTCGTCCCGCAGAGGTCCACCCATAAGTTCCGCAACAATCCACTTATTTGTAGTGTACTTGAACAATAACTTATTATATAAAATCAGAATTTGTAAGATTATTCACTCTTTGTCAATTGGCCTTTTAACAGGAATTAGTAATGTTACTTTACCAAACTAGTAATATATTGTGACAAGTTATTCAAGTACAAACGAGTGGATTGTTACGGAACTTATGGGTAGATCCAGCCATCTATTTACCAATATGCTGTTCAAGTACAATACTAACTTGATTCACTCAATTGAGAATTTTTCCCATTAGTTCAAAAACTACACGTTTCAGGTGAGTGTCTTATTTGAACAGTTCAACAGAATATTGGTGATCAGATGTAGTAGATCCAAAAATTGTAAAAATACTATCCTACTACTGATTTTGTGAACCATTCTACCTGTACAGTATTTTTGACATTTTTAGAACCAAATATGTTGGAGACGGCTCAACCAAATATAGACAAACTATATATAGTTTTGGAATCGGGAAATTGTGTTCTTCAAGAATATTATTATAGAACTAAATACATATAGGGCATCCCATTTGAAAAAAGCTGAAAGCATGCAATATTTAACATTTCTGACATTCAATTTTTGTTTTTGACCATAGATTTTAAAAATTTAGCCAATATACTGTACCACTTTTATATTTACATTTTTCATCTACCTATAAAGGTAAAGGCTGTAGTTGGGATGTCAATATATAAAAAAACACCCTGTACATAGTCTTATTGATTTTGTATAAATATTTTTAAATTAGAACAAAAAAAAAGCAATAAATCAACTCAACCACTAATGATATACCTACTGTTTGAGATTAAAGTTCTTGGGACAAAGACAAAGGTGTGATTTTTTATAGGTTTCCAGCTTTCTAAACATTCTTAAAACTTCAAATATGGTTTTGTTTTGTTTTCTTTTTTTTTTTTTATTTTATTATTTTATTTTCAAAAGGGGGGTGGGCAGTTGCCCCCCCTGCCCCCTCACTGTATTCGCCACTGGTTAGAAGGTATAAAAGCTACAAAATTGCATTTGAATAGATTTAATAAAGTTTTGGAATTCAAATTTTAATTATTCCCGACTCTTGATTCCATATATTTTGTTGCTTTGAATAAAACATATATCCTATTCACAATCTGTAGTCTAAAGGTACAGGTAAATGTATCACCTTTCCCTATCAAATAGCATTGAAAAGTGATAAATTTTACCTGTACCTTTGGACTACAGATTGTGAATAGATAATAAATCTATAATCGATAATAAACTAATGAATTGTAAATATTTACCTCGGATATTTTAAGAGCGGCAAGACTGTCTCCAGATATATCTCTTGGTATTTCCGAGTAACGGAGCATTTTCAGGTCATGGTTGTCTTTGATGTGATGGAACTGGAACAAAAATCAACTACTTATTCCCTAAACTAAATTCGTAATAATACGGCTCACTTTTATAGGAATTCCACAAAATTCAATTCTACGCCGGGCCATTATCACACTAAGAATGATTTCTGTCAGCGGAAATTAGTTGTTATCGCAGAGAAGCTAAAATTATCTTGATGATTTATTTAGAATGGAATTATGTTTGGTTTTATTAGAGTAATTAAATAATAGTTTAGTTGGGAATGAGGATAATTAGTGGGTTTGGGAAATAAATGATTTAGGCTTTTTGGACATCATTGGTTTATGAAACTCTAGACTCTAGAATCTCTGTGATAACTAGAAGTAGCTTTTGACAATTTTCTTTGAATATCCCTTTTAATTTATAAATCCTTGTTTTCATGACAATAGAAATATTTCAATTAATTGTGTCCACTCATTAAATATTTATTAATTTAAGTTTATTGACTTTTGCATTACACCTTCCTAAACTACTAACCTAGGCCAATACTTTCCAAAGCATTTCATCACATCAAATACTTCAGCAGTGACACAATTCTAGAGTGTATAATGAACATTTTAAAGTTCAAGGTTGGTAAAAAGTAAAAATATTTTCAATACAACTTACAAAGCCGGTTAAAGCATTTCCACATTTGGCCAAAAATCTTCGTTTGCAACAGTTCACTTGATAACTTTTCTCATTTTTATTCATCACAAACATAATCAAACTTCATGCACTGATCCCATTCAGCAGTAATGCGAAACTAATTAGAAAAAAAAACGAATTAATTAAAGATTTAACACTTTAGTAATGACGCAGTGATATTGTTTATCCTCGGACTGATGTCGATGCACTGATTATTGATGCCAAACTATGTCAGTGTAAAACGAAGCGAGCCATCGTAGAAGTTGATCGGTGATTGATAAGTTTTTTTTAAATCAATTAAACTTTACATATCATAGACGTACTAGGTATTGCCAATTTTTAATTATCCAATACGCGTTGCATATCTTAATCGGAAATGATTTTGTAATAATTTTCTTATGAGGCACTGTTTCTGATTAATCACGAGGCAGGTGGCTTGTGACAAATTATTGGGCCCCAAACAAAAAGTAAAACATGTTATCGGAAATAATTTTTGAGTCAGCGATTTTTTGAACTAAGGCAATTTATCTAGTACTTTATGGCAACCAATACAATTTGGTTTAAAATTGACTTATTTTTTTAAGCTTATACAAAGAAAATTATTCCTTGCAGAAGCCGCAAAAGTATCGTATAAGAACTTAATTAATAGGCTTATTCAGTCAAATTTGGAAATTCATTGACTAACTTTCCATAATTAATTTACCTTAATATTGAAGAAAATAATACAAAACTAGCACTATTAAGAGATTTCATTCGACTTCCATCAAGCCTAACTAGTTATAAGACTAAATCACAACTGCAACAGTTTTGAAGCTAATAAGCTTTAAAATTGAAATTATCAAACATTGAACATTTTCCAAAAATGATATGCGTTTTTGAATAGAGATGAGGATATTAATTAAATTAGGTAACTCCAGGCAAAATAGGTTTCGATCTCGCATTAAATAATGGGCTTCCAATTCTTTCAAGAATGTGTAGGGGATGATGTCTTAAACAACGTCTCATAAAGTCCCGTCGATTTCATACGCCGCGGGGTGGAGGCGGGCGATCCAAAGGTCACTTTTTTCAGTTTTTGGCTTTTATCTCGAGAATGGTGCGTCCCACTAAAATTTACCTTGTAAAATTGAAGCTTATAAAAGGACCCCGCAATATTTAAATGGAAATTGGTTACCCGTGATATTTGAATGAAATTTAAATATGTAATTAGAAATGCCCTAAAGTACATTTTTCACCATGGGCGCAAGGCGCAACCTTGTATATATGACAGGTGAGGCGGTATCGGCTGTCAAATATTGGAATTTAATATTCAAAAGCAGGATAACTATGGCCATAGGCGTATCCAGGGGGGGCTGCAGCCCCCCCCCCCCCCAAGGCAAGTCTAAATTTTTTTTCAGCGTATTTTATGTGACATGTACATTTTTTTGTATAAAATAAAATTCATTTCTTTCTAGAGTAAGGTTTTTCTATGGCGGGCGCCTAATGCAGCAAGGGAATCAGTGCTTCATCTTAATTATCCTGCTTGTCCGAAATACTTCCTTCCTCAAGGGCTCGATTCTCGTTTCAGAGAGTAGAGCAGTAGAAGAGCTCCCCAATAGAACGTATGTTTTGTCCTTGCCAACTTAATCGAAAAGTAAAAGACAATGATAAAGACCAAAAATTTGTTCTCTCGGGGAGCTCTACTCCCTGAGACGAGAATCGAACCCCAGAGATGGGACTCTTTAACGAATAGAGATTCTCTATCTCTATTGACGTGGCGTTTCTATTGATTTCAGAAACAGGAGAAGAAGACAGCAAGTGCCTTAGCGATAGGGATAACGATCTTTATCCGGTACAGAGTGCCAGCTCAGGGTACCTATTCTTGAAACGAAGGACCAGCGTTCTCAATGACATGCAAATGATAATATCATTATGTGGACGGAAAAGCTATTCTCATGGGAATGTTGGCCCCCCTGTTTCAAGAATAAGGGCCCAAGAGAGAAGGTGCTCCGTGAACAAAATTTCTCCTCCTTAACAAAAAAAAGCGAATAAGTGGCCCGATGCGAAACTTTTTTTCGCCCAGCAAAAAAAATGGCGCGTAACATTTGATTATGTTACAGGAGAATTCCTGACAAAAATAGGCAACTTTCACATTTTTAAATTATTCTGTTAATCATTCATCAAACGAATTTTCAAACTGTTGCGGAAATGCCGGATAGGAAAGGGAACGTCACTTTCTTCGCTTTAGTCAATGAGAGGCACGTGAAAACGGACTATTGTGCGTAGGTTTTTTTTTTTTTTTGGTCAACACTTTTTGTTGTGCCCCCCCCCCCCCAAACCAAAATCCTGAATACGCCAATGACTATGGCAGATTTTGATGAAGCAAGTATCGATTTCTACTAAGTCGACCAAGGTAAATCGAAAAATGTCAACCATTTTGAAATCTATCAAAACCCTGCCAAACGGCAGTACTCATAGTTTACAGTTTTCAATATTTCATTTGACAGTTTTAGCTTATGTAAATTCTGAGTTAAAAAATTGGAAAAAAAATTACAGAACTGTCAAAACCTGTCATTTATTTTAGTAGAAAAAAAGATTCATATTTGGTTCTTTTTTGTTTTAAGGTAATTTATTGGTAATAAAACATTAAGCAAAGCTCATAGACATCAAATTTTGAGAGCTGTCAAAATCTGAAGACGGTGTATAAAGTTTTTCCATGCTTCATCTTCATAATAAATAAGCATAACTTAAATAATTGGAGCAGAACTAGAGTTCAGTTTTTTTTTTTCAATTAAAGCTTATGTCAGATTCTGACAGCCGTCAAAATTTGATGTCTATGAGCTTTATTCAGTGTTTTATCACCAATAAACTACCTTCAAACGAAAAAGAGCCAAATTGGAATCTTTTTTTTTTACTAAAACAAATGAGAGGTTTTGACAGTTCTGTAATGGTTTTTTTTTTCAATTTTTGAACTCAGAATTTACATAGGTTGAAATTGTCAAATGACACATCATGAAATATTGAAAACTGAAAAATATGAGTGCTGCCGTTTGGCAGGGGCTTGACGGATGTCAAAATGGTTGACATTTTTCGATTTTCTTTGGTCGACTTATAAGGAATCGATATTTGTTTCATCAAAATCTGCCATAGTTACCCTGCTTTTGAATATTAGATTCCAATATTTGACAGCTGATACCGCCTCACCTGTCATATATGCAAGGTTACGCCCATGGTAAAAAATGTTGCCTACGGCATTTTTAATAACATATTTAAATTTCATCTAAATACCACGGGTAACCAATTTCCGTTTAAATATTGCGGGGTCCTCACTTTCGAATGATGTATTTGTGTTTACAGCTAAGTGTTACCGGTTTCCAGATATGAGCCGCTGAATATGAAAATTTGTCAAAAAAGTGGTAGCGGTTAAGGTATCTCGTAATTATCCTTTTTTAATTTTTTTCCTGATATTACAGTAAACAAAAAGTTGTAAACCAAAACATTTTCTTCAAAAGCGTGTAGATATAGTTTTGCCACTTTACCAAACCCAGTAAGTGGTAGAGTGTTTGGAAGTTTAGAGTTTAGGGATACGTTTTAACATTTCGCTATAGTAAAATGCTCGTTAAACAAGTTTCGTTTTGAAGCTCTATAACTATTTTAATTACTCCGTATGCCGTTTAGTTGAATACGTATAATACAGCTAGTATACCCTGTATACATTAGTTATTTATGTGACAAGTTGCCAAGTGAGCGAGTTTTTTGCAGTTTGATTGAACACGAGCGTAGCGTGCATGAATCAAAGGAGATGTGCGCTTGTCTTGGTGTTATTCGTGGAATCAGCCACACATTCGGCATTCGTATAGTTGACAATGTTGACATTTTATTAAAATTTTGTGGTACATCAGCCTACTTGCACAGCATATACAAAAACAATCAGCAGGCTAACTTGAGTGACATCCCGTGTAATAATAGTAGATTATACCACGAGTCAATAATGATAGCTATTATTCCCGAGGATTATTACGAACTGAGCCGCGTTAGCGGCGAGGGAGTAACATTCCGAGGGAATAATAGCCATTATTGCGAGTAGTATACTCTACTTTATTTACGACAAATTAATTTATTTGAGATTTTCAATGAACAAATTTCATCCGTCTCATAATTTTCAATACAAATCCACAAGCACTACACGTTTGACACTGACACTTTTGTGGAATAATGACCATTAATCCCGCTACTCGTCATTAATCCCTGGAGGAATAACATATGTCATTATACTGCCAAAATCACAAATATAATACGCACATTATACATTAGTCGTAAATAAAGGAATTTATTGTCGGGATGTCACTAGCGGCCATTTTGGGATACGAGACAGGACCTGATTAACAATAATTTAGATTTTTTCTTTCGGGTCACAGAGTCGTATTGGCTTTAAATAAACTAATTTAATATTACTTACATATAATAATATTTATCCTTACTAATTTATTATTATTTTTAAATATACAAAAATGATAACTGATTACACCATAAATGACAACACGAATATACTAAAATGACTTTGAAAATTATAACTAAAATTCCGCTCTACACCGAACGCCTATGACCTCCGGCAGAAATAGACAAATAAATTAAAATGTCGGCGTCCCTGCCGTTTAATGACAAAATGGTATCCCCTAATGGCGGCGTGCGCAGAAAAGATGCGCGTGAGAGTTAGCCTGCTGATTGTTTTTGTATATGCTGTGCTACTTGCTTACCTACTTGGCCTCCAGGTTTAAATAATTGGAACAAGTTTACAGTTTATTAACAAAATATGTCCAACTTAATTAAATTGAGAAGTCATAAAGCGTTTAAGAGGGGCGTCAGATAAGAGGCAGTGCGCCATCTTTTGGGCTTTACGACATACATTAAATATTTTTTAATCACAGGTGTGCAAATTCCCTGTAAGTTATTGACTTATTTACAAGTAGATGGCGGCATCTTCAATATCAATTCGTTTACACAGTAATATACAGTGTACTAAATAATTTTATTCAGATGCAATTGAAATAATAGTATTTCACATTATTAGCAAGGTAAAACAGTTTTAACTGGCGTTTGAAAGAAGTGACTATGCTTCCCGACTTCTTCAAGAGAAGCTTTGAACACACGTTTGGTTCTACTAAAAATGACAGCAATCACCTCGTTGTTTGGCAGATTTTGATTAATTTTGGAATAAAAACATTATAAATTTTCGACAATTCTGTTCTTTTCATTTATTCCAGCATTTTATGATCCGAAATTTTGGAAATTTATTGTTGGTGTGCTACTCTATGTGTTTATACCTTTCTGATTTAAATCCGTGACCAATATTTGCATACTGCTATCAACAAAATTGGTAGTAATTTCAGTGACGCTTTAACCTTTCTCTGGCCCCTAGGTCAATTATTTGGTATGGCCTTTCATGAGTGATTGTTCTTTTTTTATGGGATTAAATAAAATCGTTCAGACGTTTTCAAACTACTAAAAAAACCACTAATAGTTATTTATGTTATAAGGATCATAATGATTGTTTATGATCCGAATTTCATACAATATTTTATATTCCGGCGATTATAGTCAACACATTTTTCTGCTAATTTCAGTAATGTGCTTGACAACTGGTAACAACGGAATTATTTGTTTGAATTGTCATATTGTCAAAGTTGAATTCACTGAAATGTTCATCAAACATTGAAAAATTAATAATTCTATGATGGATTTACCTCCAAAAATGGAAAAT